CGTGGCCCGGGTTCGATTCCCGGTATGTGAAATTCTTTTTTAGTGTAATGTTATCGCTAAAAGAATAAATTGAGTAAAGTAATAATAGCGTAACTAGTATCAGCCTAACATTCGAGAACGAGGGGGATTAGCTCAAATGGAAGAGCGCTCGCTTTGCATGCGAGAGGTACCGGGATCGATACCCGGATTCTCCAAGCTCAGTAAACTCTTTCACTAACTGTTCTTAATTCTATCTAAATGCCTGATTGCTTTTTCAAGTAATCTAGCTCATTCATCTACTTTAACAAAAAGGTATTTTTGGAAGCTTTTTGTTGCATGTATAATATTTGATAATATTTGGCCACATATATTTTTTCTGTTCTACTATGCTGTTTGCTTTTATCACTTGTACCCTAACTGTGTTAAGCAGCTTGGCGCAGTGGAAGCGTGCTTGGCCATAACCCAAGGATTGAAACCTTCCTCTGCTAACCACTCATTTTTATATTTTGTCTATTTTGTCTTTTCTTGTTTTCGCTACTTTTCAAAAAGTGTCTGGCCATAGCACTCAGTTGATGTATTGTATTCAGAAAATCTATTGTGTTTTATTGTCTTTCTATCTATTGTATTAGGTGTGATTCATTGCATTTTTATGAATACATTTAAAAAACTTTCTTAGATCGTGGCTCTTTACAAATTAGTTCCAAAAAACGGAAAAAATGGAGGTCACGTGATCACGAAATTTACATACATTTACATAAAAATTCATTTTATTAGTAGGTGCTCAATTTAAGTCTTTGCTGAACGCTTTTAAGCTTAATTTATTTCCTTTCCTAAAGACGTTCAATTGACGTTGAGAATGGTTGGCTAAAGTTTTGTGTTAAGGAGATATTTTACAAAACAGGTCACGTGACGTGTCAAAATATCTTTTATGCCCATTTTTCTCCTTTCGTAAACATTTTGGTCAACCATTCCAAACGTGAATATCTGTATCTTTGTCACTACTTTCAAACAAGCTAAAGAAATCTCACAAATAATCTAAAACCATCACCTAGTTTTTAATTTAGTATTTTCCCTCTTTTAAGGTCACGTGACCACTTTTTATGCAAATTTATCCATCCAAAAAGTTAAGCACCCTAAATAAGGATATCTGTAGCAATCTCATTCAATTACATCTAAAAATGAGGAATCTACAGTGAAAAGTGATTTTTGTCCTTTTGAACAAAATCCCAGGCCTTAACATGCTTGAGACAAAAAAGCGATCACGACAAATAAAGAATTCCATTGGAGCTCTTACAAAAGATTACGTAATGCTGTTACAATGAAATTAAGGAAAGAAAAAAGT